GCGATTTTTTCGATTTTTACCATAATAAACATGATTCATTCGATTTGTAACTAGACATGTATTGTAAAAAATTTAATTGCAAACATTTTTTTCCTCTTCCATTTTCGCCTAAAATCAACTCTTAAAAAGATACATAATTAAATAGGAAGAAAAATATGACATTTTTCGAATTTTTTTAACATATTGTGCCGCCAAAAGTTAAGCCCACGTTTTTTTTATGCGCATAGAAAAATTTTCATTTCTAGTGATATTTGAAAGCCAAAAAGCCAAAAATCTCAGTGGATATACGATTCACCCAAATATGGCTTTTTGAAACAGATACCGTCTGGACTATAATTAAATACGGACAATACAACTGGTTTTATTTTTTTTACTCAAAAACGGCACATCGTAGGACAAAAACTCAAGAGAGCTCTTATCTTTCGGATTGAACGGGGATTTCAAAAAAATTTTATTTAGGAAAAATCAGTGCTTACACGCACGCCACTGTTAGAATTAAAAATTATGTTTGTATTGAAAAACATTAACTGACACTACGTACTAAATATCACTGAAATATCTCATTGTCAAGCGATTTCGGAAATATTAATAAATTTCCTTCTTTTTTCTAAAATAACCCCGTATTTTCCCAAGGGAACATTTTTGTACCATAGTTTATAAAACAAACTATCATTAATTTTCCACGTAGAATCACACCTTTACATATTCGCATATCATTAAGGAACACCCTGTATATGACTGCATAAATCACCGTTGTAGTCAACGTGTGCCTTTAAATATTTCTACAGGGTGTTCAGATTATAGATATACAAGCCATTAACTTAAAAAGCCCTAAGAAAGCGCATATTTGGAGGCTATAACTTTCTAAAATTCTGCTCTGCTATAATTTTTTTTGGGGTCAAATTTTGAAAAATTGTATTAGTTATTTTTTATCTGTTTAATATCTCGTTATCTACACCATCCGGAATTTCATTTCGTACTAATTTTTATCAATTTATTTTTATATGTATATTAGGGAGGCTCAAAAACAAAAAATCTGCTCAAAAAAATTTTTTTAGAGGTCGCTCAAGATTTTTAAAAATTTCCAAAATGGTCAAAAATTTAATTTTTTTTAAAAATTTTTTTCTCGTTATTTTATCATTTTCTAGGTTGAAAAAAATCTTGATTCTGAAAAATCTCTGTGTAAGTATAACTTTAATTTAGCTATTCCCAAGTACAAATTTTTGTAAATATAATATTTTCGTAAATTCTGTATTTGTATTCAAGATATTGTTTTTTAATTGAAACTATTTTAAAAATTAACCCATTTGTACCCTCCACTTCCTCGAAATAAAATCTCAAGACTGTAATAGTAAATTTATTTGTTCTGAAATACAACTCTATGCGTCTTAGATACTTTCTTCTCTACGTCACGTGGCTTCGTCATCGGATCATTGGTATATTCTTCCGAAGTAGATTTCAGTATAGTCTTCACCATTTGGTTTTGATTACTGACGAATCTGCCATCTTTGCCTATAACGCTTTTGTTCTTAACAAATTGGTCGGGTTTATATCCTGAATTCTTGTCACTATTAGTTTTGAAATTGAATTCATTCTTACTGCATGATGCAGCAACATCTTGGTTTGAAAATGAATCACATTTGCCAGCGTTGGTTTTGGAACCTAAAATAATTCTTTTAGTAAATGGAATCTCCACAACTGGCTTTCTGCCTTCGTCATCTTCGTCTGTCCAAACTTTCTCTCTTGACATTATCGAAGGTATGTCGCATGGAAACATGGGGGTACATGGAACGACGAATGAACTTGATTTTGCCAATGGCTCATGTGAGCTTTGCTGCGTCCCTATCACCATAGTTGAAGTTTCTTGTGACGCGTAGGGTGATGGGTTCCTAAAACACACCACATTTAAAAAGTGTAAATTGGGTTCATATATTCAATAATAGATCAAAAACTGGGTTTCACGTTCAGTATCTAAGCCCTAAGGAATATTGTTGGGAAAACATATTTCATTGTTTGTTCCGACGAAAGATTTTAGTTCTGCAATGTAGTTGTTAGTAAATGAAGTGCTGGTTTTGAAATAGTAGGATTAAAATCAGCTAGATCACACCCGATTTGTAATACTGGTGCAATGATTTAGCATGCAATGATATGACAAAACCACTCCTGACCATTTTTCGAAGAGGTATCTTTGAACAACAGGCACCATTCCACACGGGTGAGGAATCAAATCAAATTTACTAGTTTTCATCTGTTTTAAAATCCGTTTCCGTGGTGTGAATGACTTTTTTCAAATTCTGTAGGCATCACCTGAAGAAGCATTCCCAAAACCATAAAGTCTAGTAAGTTTGATTTTATTTTTCTCCAGGGTGCAATGGTGCTCGTGGTTCAAAGACACCCCCCCCCCCCTGAAAATCCGATTTTGAACGTTAAGAGAATAAGCAGGATGACAACCACAAAGCTTATAATTAGCAAATCTTTGAAAGAAGCCATGCAAACTCACACGATATATGTATCATAGATGCCTGAACCGTGGATTCGACTCGATGTAAACTGTTTGTCTGCTTGTCTTCTATCAACGTCAATATCATCCCTAAATCTATATCCGCTGTTGTCGTTTGTTCTAGAGGAAGAGCTACTACTTTGTAGGGTTTCAATGATTCTCGTAGAGGAAGTGGGTAAACTTTTTGTCGACCATGGTGGTGGTGGACGATCGATGTCTTTCCTTGATGCCACAGAAGGAATTTCACAAGGAAACATGGGTTTACAGGGGACTGCAAAAGCACTTGGTAACCTGTCCAAGGAATCTTTCCCTTTCATGGATTTCTTTCTCAGGTGTTCCTCCAGTGTGCATGATGAAGGGTCTCTAAAAATACACAAAAGCTAAGATGTTGGGTCAATACATTTTGTGTTATAACGAGCGTTCAAATAAAAACGTGGTCGAAGTTGGCTCTGACACATTGGACGTAGGGAGTAGCTTATAGCGACCAACTTAACCTCAATTCTCAACGAGCTGTATAGCAGCTGTCAGTTTCAATAACGTTAATGACTATATAACTTTATTTTAAAGAATAATCGTGATAACAATAACAAACAATTAAAGGAGCTGCGGAAAGTGTCCCCCTCCTTGTTATAACAATAAATTAAAGCAGCTGCTGAAAGTGTCCCCCTCCTTGTTCCAAGCACTTTTCACACCTGTTCCTCAAAGAATTAAAGACATTTTCTAAGATGCTCGGGGTATTGTTAATTTCACGAATCTTGTCTATAAGTCGAGCCTGCAGATGGTTTAAATCAGGAATAGGCAGTTCAAAAATAGTGTTTTTAAGGTAAGGCCACAAAAAGAAATCACACGGCGTAATATCACATGACCTCGGTGGAAATTCATGTTCAGCATTGAGACTTATTAGTCGATTTTGGAAAACTTCCCTCAACATATTCATCGTCTCGCCTGCCGTATGTGCCCTTGCGCCATCTTGTTGAAAGTAAAAGTTTGTAATTTCGTTTTCTTCCAGCTGGTTAACAAAAGGAGCGATAATTTCTTCTCTATACCTTTGCGCAGTAAGAGTACCATTAAAAAAAATAGGTCCATAAATCCTCCTTCGATTGAGAGCACACCAAACTCCAATTTTTTGAGCGTGTAGAGGGCCCTCGACAAAAAAGTTATCTGGTTTTTCAGAAGACCACATTCTCATATTCTGTGAGTTTACGTAACCACTTAAATGAAACCAGGCTTCATCAGAAAAAAAGGTGATATTATGAAGTTCACCGTAGTTGTTTAAAAACCATTCACAAAATACAGCCCGTCGCGGAAAATCAACTTCATGAAGTTCTTGCTGACAAGTTAAACGATAGGAGAACAAACGCAAATCTTTTTTTAACACTGTGTGGCAGGTACCGACTGATACTCCCACCATTTGTGATAAAACACGTACAGAAGTTCTTGGCGCATTTTCCATTATTTGTTGGACATTTTCTTTTAATTCTTCAGTCCGCTTTTTAGGTCGGCCGCTTCCTTCTTTTCTTGTTACACTGCCCGTTTCACGAAAAACATTAACACAACGCTGAACTGCACTTTGAAAAATTTTGTACTCAACAACGCCGGGAAATTGATTTTGAAATTCTATGAAACATTCCTCAATAGAATACTTCCATATTCCATCAATCTTGCGTCCATTTCTAAAGTAGGACTCTATGATAAACACTTTTTGTTCTTGAGAAAACACCATTTTAAACGCTTTTTAAAACGAAAATATTCAAATTGATAGCGGCGATATAGCGCTTTGACAGATGACGTTTAAGTTCATTTGCTATACGCTACGCCCTACGTCCAAATTTTCAGAACCAACTTGACCACGTTTTTATTTGAACGCTCGTTATATGGAAATAAATTAGGTCAAATGAAATGCCTGTGTGACGTCATAGTTACCGAAATATTAACCATAATATATGATGGATGGAATAATTTAGATGTGTGAAAAATTGTTGTACACATTTATAATGATTCCAAATTATCATCGTTATCATCTGCTTATTAATAATGCTTAAGCATACGATTTGCTAATTGCTATGGATTTAGAAATATTTTAACAATCCTACCAGAACTAACTGCTGATAAACTTACATATTTGAGAACGTCGTCGAGCGGGAATAATTAAATTTTCCATAATTTTCTTTAAATCTCTGACAACTTTCATCTTCGTTGGCCTTTGAACCAACATTAATTCTCTCAATGTTAATTTCTCGAATAGGTTGCTCTATTTTGGTTGATGAAAATGGAAAATTCTTTGCTGATTTTGCTGGCGAACGAACCAAATCGTGACGTGATGTTATTGAAAGTATCTCACAAGGATATATGGGGACACAGGATACTGCCGATGGATTTGGACTTACTATTCGCTGTGGTGAGCTCTGTTCTAGATCCTCTATTAGTACTTCTTTGGACACACAAGGAGGAATTCGCCTAAGGTAGAAAACAGTAGTTATTATTATTGCGTATTATACTGTTTCTTAATTATTAAGGCAAACTTAAGCAAGACATAGAAAATGTTTTCAGCGCAATTATTATCTTTCGGAAAATGCTTGGTAAGGAAATATCCAAAGATAAAAGGTAACATTGTCCAAAAAGACGTTGCGAGTTCTCCATGTTTTCTTTTAATGTGGGGATAGATTCTATTACCAAAGTCGTTACAATTTTTCTTCTGTTTTACGTAACGTAAAAATCTAGAATTTCTGGTTCTTTGAGTTTTTGAGGCTTGTTAAAGTGTATGAAAATACATATTTTCAATTTATCTAAAGGATTGGAGTAAGAGGAATTAATAATTTTTCTTCATTTTAATTATAGCCAAAGATATTTACAGAAATTGTTTGACTTGACTTGATTCAAAGATTTTTTTATATGGGGCAATATCTAGTTGAAATAAAGATGCTCTAGAATAGTAACATTTATTTTTTCTTTATCTTAAAAATGGATTTCTTAATTTGTTCAGTTTGCGTGCTGCAGTTTTGCGACAATTTTTTATCCTCTTGTTTTTTCTCAGGTTCGTTTTGATTTTCTTCATTTGCGTTTTGTTCGGCTTCATCTTGGTTTCTCACTTTCGTATCATTTTCGCTGTTTTTAGAATCTTTCTTAATTTCCAATGGTTCATTATTAGGTGCCAAAGTAACATCTTTTATATCTTGCTTCATAGGAGGTTCCTTTTTACCAGTATTAGCTTCACCTTCATTCGTTTTGGTTTGCTTGACCTCGGCCTCAGGTGTTGAGTTTAACTCGTTGTTGGTTGTTGGTGGACTTTCCTCGATTTTCGTGGAGGAAGTTGGTAGACTCCTTTCTGACTGCACGGCAGCAGAAACACAACTTTGTCCTGGTGTCACCGAGGTAGTTGGTTTTGGACTTGCTGATGGCCTATATGAGCTAGGTTGCACTCCTGTATATCTATTAGGAATTTCTTCTGCTTTGCAGGGCGGTGGATCACTAAAATTCACATCAAATTTAATAGAAAGGAAGTTTCCGCAACAATCCTAGGACTGAGCAAAACACGAATCATTCAAATATTCTTCAAACGTGTTTAATACACCTCAGAGATAGTCATGAAATTATGAGAAATAGATTGCTATTAGCAGTTATTTAAAAATTATACTGGAACTTACGTGTTCAGGCACATATTGGAACATAACGGATCTAAAGCATCCGTTTGACTTGCTTTGCACATGTTCATTCGCTTCCTATCAATGTTTCTGTTGAACCTCACATACCCGCTGTCAGGGAGCATGTCACAGGGAAGCATGGGCGTGCAGGGTACAGAAGACAAATTTGCGCTTGCAGATAGCGTGCGCACTAAATTTTGAAGTTCTTCTGATCTTTTTTTCAGGGTCTCTTCTATGGTGCAAGGTGGAGGATCCCTACAAGTATATAAATAGTTTGCTATATCTTACTAAATATATTCGCAAACTTACATATTTAGGCACATCGTCGAGCACAAGGCGTTGAATTCCCCGCTTCTGGCCTGCTTCGTTGCGCAATCTATGTTACCTTTTCTATCGTCCTTTTCCCTAGGCCTTCGATATCTTTCGTCTTTGGAAGCGGTAAAATCAATGAAGCCTCTGTTCAAGTTAATTCTGCGCTGACTTCCGTCGATCTTGGTAGAGGAAGTTGGTAAACTTTTGGCCGATGATGGAGGAGGCACTTCTCGTCTCGATGTTATTGAGGGTATATCGCATGGAAGCATGGGAGTGCAAGTTGTTGTGGATGGATTGAGGTCTATTGTTCTTCTGAAGAAGCTTTGTTGCTGTTCTGGTTTCTTTTTTAAGGCTTCTTTGGAAACGCAAGGTGGTATTTGCCTAAAGTGAAAAACAGGAGTGGTTAATACTGCTTTACTATACTAAGCAAACTTACACACTCGAGCACGAGTCCAAGCATAGTGCACTTTCAGTGGTGTTTTTAAACCTGTTGTACGCACTCGTCATGTTCGTCATGTCCCTTAGCGGGCAATTCTGGAAATTGTGGAATTTTGTGGGTTCAAAGGAAGGCTTTTTAGAAGTTCTAGCCGCATTGTAGCTGGAACTAGGGAAAGCGTCGGTTTCGGAGGTCAATCTGCCGGCGGAAAAAGCGTAGGAAGAGGAAGAAACAGTTCTGCTGACCATGGCGACGGCTTCGTCTAGCTTTTTTCTGGCTTTGCGCAGTTGATCCTTGATTTTTTCGAAATCACTGTCAGTCATCATGGATTTTGATCTGAAACAAGACTTTAAATAGTGATTTTATGCAAGTAAAAATTGCTGGCAAAAATAAAAGTCTTCATATCGCCATCTCCAGACTTTATATTCAATATTTAGAAAGAAACACCACTCAAATATTTTCTGGGAAAATATTTGAATGGTTGCCGTCATCTTTTGGATAATTTTCAGTCGCTTACCTCCTCGATGAAACTTTTCCAGGTAATTTGGTGACACAGCACGGCGCACAGGCCCCGTCATTTTTTTTACTTCCACGTGCACAGTTGGTTTCTGGACAAGAATCGGTGGTCGATATCGCATCGCTAACTCTTGAAGCTTTTGATGGTATCTTTTCCATACTTTTCTTCCTTGGCTTAGATCTAAGATAAATTCAAAATGTTCGAAGTGAAATGCGTGTAACACCTGTATCAGTTCATTCATATAATATATTTACTTCGAATTTGGTGCGCAAACTTGAACGATTGGAAATACTTTTATGTTTGTAAACATATTAATTAAAAATTGTATATGAACATTAAATATGTAATGTTTATTATAGGAATGTTCAGAATTTCTGTGTTAAATTGCTCACCTTGAAAGATTTTAATCGAGCCATTTTTAGCAACATGTGCTGACTGACAGCTAAAAGTCATTTTTGGATCGATTGTTTCATTATTTCGACTATCACGTTTTTATTAACAAATAAAGCAAATACTTCTTATCTCCATAAATTTGATGATTTAATATAATGATCCCCACATAAAATTTAATGAAAATCCCATTATCATAATATAAATCGATTATTGACTGATTATTCTTGTCAGATAGCCCAAAAAATGCATGTTTTTGAGCCATTTTTCGCGAATATCTCAAAAACTACAAGTTTTATCAAAAAAATGATCATAAGCAAAAATGAAGGTAATTAAATAGCAAAGAGATTGCTTTTTTTATTTTTGTAGGTGGTATAGAACCCGAGTTATGACTCCCAGAAGTTGAAGTTAATCGAAACGTTCAACGTCCTGTAGCGGAAAAATTAAAGGTTTTTCGAGGAAAACTTATACAACACTTATTAAAGTTCTTAAAAAGACTTTTAAATTGAGTGGTAGTAAAAGTCGTTAGCATGAAAACTAATGAAGTTACAATCAAAATAAAATGATTGTCTTGATTTTTGAGCAAAACAATAGGTATTAAAATTAATGACTTGACGGGAAAAAAATTAAACGTATTCTTCGGCAATTTACTTTATGTATTAACAGTAGATTCTAGGAATTTGAACGATTTTAGAAGCCTAAATTTAAAAAATATTCCATTTACTTTCGAATAAAATTTTTCAATTTTTTAAAAAATCGCCTTTTTTCAAATTATTTCAAAAACTAACAAAGTTATAAAAAAATGATGGTATAAGAAATTGTAGGTTGCTTCTTAATGAACAATTTGCTGTTTTTATATTTTGGTAGGACAAAATTTGACTGAGTTATGACCGTTAGAAGCTCAAAACTAATTGTAAGGTCCACGACTGCCTTTCCTGAGCCCTTTTAGCTTACAAATCTAAAAAACGAAGGGCTCAAAAAACTGCAAATCACAGAACTTAAAGTGCTTTAAATTCCCTACAAAATGGTTTTTTAAGTAAAATAACTTTAAAATTACAAAAGTTATGGTAAAAAAATTAATCGCATTTTTTCGGTAAAATTTTCGGAGCGGGTAAATTACCATCATCTTTGTGTATTTTGGAGCACATGTGAACTGAAGTAAGTATTTTAATAATATACATACACACACGTATCCGAGTTCATATGTATACAGGGTGGTCCNAGGTGGTATAGAACCCGAGTTATGACTCCCAGAAGTTAAAGTCAATTTCGAAGATAGCTATAATCGAAACGTTCAACGTCCTGTAGCGGAAAAATTAAAGGTTTTTCGAGGAAAACTTATACAACACTTATTAAAGTTCTTAAAAAGACTTTTAAATTGAGTTGTAGTAAAAGTCGTTAGCATGAAAACTAATGAAGTTACAATCAAAATAAAATGATTGTCTTGATTTTTGTGCAAAACAATAGGTATTAAAATTAATGACTTGACGGGAAAAAAATTAAACGTGTTCTTCGGCAATTTACTTTATGTATTAACAGTAGATTCTAGGAATTTGAACGATTTTAGAAGCCTAAATTTGAAAAAATATTTCATTTACTTTCGAATAAAATTTTTCAATTTTTTAAATAATCGCCTTTTTTCAAAATATTTCAAAAACTAAGAAAGTTATAAAAAAAATTATAGTATAAGAAATTGTAGGTTGCTTCTTAATGAACAATTTGCTTTTTTAAATTTTGGTAGGACAAAATTTGACTGACCGTTAGAAGCTCAAAACTAAGCTGCAAGACTGCCTTTCCTGAACCCTTTTAGCTTACAAATCTAAAAAACGAAGGGCTCAAAAAACTGCAAATCACAGAACTTAAAGTGCTTTAAATTCCATACAAAATGGTTTTTTAAGTAAAATAACTTTAAAATAACAAAAGTTATGGTAAAAAAATTAATCGCACTTTTTCGGTAGGTAAAATTTTCGGAGCGGGTAAATTACCATCATCTTTGTGTATTTTGGAGCACTTGTGAACTGAAGTAAGTATTTTAATAATATACATACACACACGTATCCGAGTTCATATGTATATGTACGTGTACATTCGGAAATTGGCCAAGGCCTCGAATTTAGGTTGGCACCAAGCGAGAAATTCTGTATACGCACAGGTTGGCAGCATTACTTAGATAAAGTGCATGCATATGCATCCCTGTATATATATATACAGGGTGATTCAGTCATAATGTCATTAATTTTAAGAGCAGATAGAAAAAAATGAGTATAATACGATGGCGTGATTAAAAAAAAATTTTAATGCATATNCTTAAAGTGCTTTAAATTCCCTACAAAATGGTTTTTTAAGTAAAATAACTTTAAAATTACAAAAGTTATGGTAAAAAAATTAATCGCATTTTTTCGGTAAAATTTTCGGAGCGGGTAAATTACCATCATCTTTGTGTATTTTGGAGCACATGTGAACTGAAGTAAGTATTTTAATAATATACATACACACACGTATCCGAGTTCATATGTATACAGGGTGGTCCGAATTTTATGCAGGAAACTTCGAGGGTAGATAGATCTCTTTAAAATAATATGTGTTTGCCTTATAAACATTGGTCTGGAACAGCCCCGTTTTAGAGATACACGGTGTTGAAGTTGTTAAAAAAAATAGATTTTTTGTTTATCTCTCCGGAATCTATTAACCGATATAAATAAAATTTGGTACAGATAATGTATGATAGTAGGCCTTACATTCCCTAAAATATGAGCTTTAATGGTTCAACCAGTGGTGTACAACTGAACAGGGGTTACCCCCCTTTTTTACAAAATAACCTACGCCACTGCATTTTTTACAAGTTATTGTAACGTATTTATATTTGAATGCACAAAATACGTAAAAAAAGTAACTTTAATTTTTTTCCTAAGATTCGCCGATCTCAAGTTATTCAAACCAATTCTTGCCTTGTGGCTGACACTTCTAACCATAATATTACAAGAATATTTATGCTTATGCTTAAAAGTAAGTGCAATCTGTAAGCACATCAACAAAATTATTTACACTCCTTTCTACACCACCTGTGAGGTAGTGTTCCTAGCGTGTTTTAGTTTTCCCTGGAGGCCTAATACTCTACAAATAAGAACAATTTAAATCAAAATAATAATAAAAATATATTTACCAAGCAGCAGCGCCTAAACAAGAAACAAAATTAACGTTACGTATTTACAACAATTGTATTACACTCGTCTTCTATTCGTTGGAGTAGAATAAACTTTACTTTGCAGATAACCCTAAACACAGAAGTCCAGGGGGTTTAGATATGTCAATCTGGCTGGCCAAGACACTGAACCATAATTATGCTTGACATTGGCATTTAGTCTTCTACCTATCCATCGACCCAAATAATTTTAATTAAGCCATTCTTATATTATTCTCCCAGAATGCGCAGGAGCACCATCCATTGTATCCAGCTTTAATGGAACATCCTCTAATAAATCAAATAGATGGTTTTCTAGAAAGTATAGAAATGACTGGAAATTTAGACGGGTTTAGAAAGGTCCACAAACTTTATTGCGAATTATTCCGAGCCACACGTTCACAGAAAATTCGTGTTGAAAAGATCTTGTCCGAATTTCATGAGGATTTTCTTGTGACCAAATATGCAGGTTGTGAAAATTCACTACCCTTCGCCTTTGGTAAATGTACATTTATTATTATTTTGATTTAAGTTGTCCTTATTTGTAAAGATAGTGGGTTAGGCTTCCAGGGGAAATTAAAATGCGTAAG